CTCTCTCTCTCTCTCTCTGTCTGTCCGTCTGTCCTTCCGTCCGTCCGTCTGTCCGTCCTCCTGTCCGTCCGTCCGTCCGTCTCTCTGTCTGTCTCTCTGTCTGTCTCTCTGTCTGTCTCTCTGTCTGTCTCTCCGTCTCTACTGTCTCTCTGTCTGTCTCTCCGTCTCTACTGTCTCTCTGTCTGTCTCTCTGTCTGTCTCTCCGTCTGTCTCTCCGTCTCTACTGTCTCTCTGTCTGTCTCTCCGTCTCTACTGTCTCTCTGTCTGTCTCTGTGTCGGTCTGTCTCTGTCCGTCTCTGTTGGTCTCTGTCTCTGTCTCTGTCCCAGTCGCTGTCACCGTTGTTGTCTATCTCTCTCGCTCTCTCTCTCTCTCTATTATCTCTCTCTCTCTCTCTCTCCATTCATTCATTCTCTCTCTCTCTCGCTCGCTCTCTCGCTCGCTCTTGCATACACATTGACATGCTCTTCTGAGGCTCATTCTCTTGCTGAAGCTCCTTTTTCTAGGCCTAGGCTTCTGACACATCACCTATATTGCACGACAAGCTCAGCGTGCCCCTTCATCAGAGACCGCGCTTTAACCAAGACGCAGTCGGTTTACTCTTCTCGCGGAGTAGTGTGGGCAGAACACTCCCCCCCTGGCCTGGGCCATGGCACCAGAGCCCGGCAGAACGCACAGCGGAGCGCCTCTGGGGAAGCCGGGGCTCGCCGGAGCCGCCGGAGCCGCCGGAACGCTTGGAGCCCCCTGGCGGCTGCTGTTGCTCTCGGCTTTTCTTCTTGTTGGGGGCCATGGGGCCGAAACGACTCTGGAGACGACCCACAAGGAATCGGATCTGGAGACGACGACAGACGCCCCTCCGGGCACCTCGCCTCTGCCGCCTTCGGAGTCTGATCCATCTGAGCCATCATCCTTCCAGTGCGATGCGATTTCGATTCTCGGGAACGGCCACGACGTGACGCTGCACCGTTGCACTGGGGGCACCTGCTACGCCACAGATATCATCTCGGCATGCGGGTGCTACGGCTGCAAAGTAGTTTTGTTTTTGTGCTTGTAATCCTGCTGTGCACCTGCCATTCCCATTCCCATAGGAGGAGGTAGTCCGTCAGACTGCGCTGCATTTTAGCGACGTGTCAGTTGGGCTCTCAATAATTGTGGCTCTGGCACTCCTTGGAGTTGCGCCACCTTCCCGCCGGGTCGCATTCGAAGAGGACCTTCTTTCAGCCCTGCGCTAGGCCGCTAGGCCCGCTAGCTGCGCTAGGCCTAAGATCGAGCTTGTGCTGCTTCGTGCGCTCAGGGGATACGGCACTCAGTGCTGCGCGCCGCGAATCAGCTTGTGTGCTTCCGGGGCAACCTGCTTCGCCACAGTGCAGATTGAGACATGCACCAGCGCGGCAAAAGTCAGTTGAAACATGGAGTCACAGAGACTGACAGGGACATGCCAGTAGCATGCTATGCTGTAAGGCTTGCTCTTCTCTGTTCCGCTCTGCTGAGGTATGCCTTGGGCGGTTTGTTGTGCTCCCAAAGTCACGACGTGCCTCTCCCCTTCCTGCAGCCAGAACTTTCCTGCGTGCACGCAGAGCTAGCTGTGGGAGCGGGGAACTCCCTCGAGCTATGAGGGCAGCTGTAGTCTTTGCAGAGATTCCTTTTGGCCAAGGAGAGCTACACATGCTTCTTGGTGGGCGCACCTCAAAGAGGGGCCCACGAAAAGAATTCGAGATGCAGCGCCTTTGTACGCCACCAGTGACCGCCGAAAAGAGCCGCAGGGAGGGGGTGGGGGGACGGGTGTACAGCAATTTCCTATAGTCAGGAGTGGGCGGCGGAGCGGTCACGGGAGGCGCCGCGGGAGCGGGACCGGGGACCGCCGGTTCCCAAAGCAGCGGCCCCGCGGCGGGGGCGGCCAGCGCCGGAGCGGCGGCCCCCGCCGCCGGCGCCATGGCGAGTGGCGGCTTGGGCTTCGGAAGCGGCAGCGGCTGGCGGCTGCGGAGCCAAGTGGTCTTCGGCCGCCTGGAAGCTTTCTCTGAGAGGGCAGGGGGCCCCGAGAAAACCTAGAGCGAGACGCAATTTTGGGTCTCAGCTTATCGAGGTCTCGGACATCTTGGACTTTGTGAAAACCGTCCTGCAGTTCAACAAGCTCCAGAGGGTGGACATCGGAGGCGCCGCAGCGAGTCACATCTTCCAGGGCGAACATCGCGCTCGGCGCTTTGGAGGCACCAAGGGCAAGGTGCTCTCTGCCTCCGTGCGAAAGGTGCCAGGGAGGGGCGTGGATGGAGTCTCCGTCTCTGTGCGTCTGTCAGGTGCATGAGGAATTTGAGAAGGCCGCTTTGTCGGAGGGCCCTCGGTTAGTCTTTGCTCATGTCGGAGCTCTCGCAGGCCGTTGGAGATTTTCGCCCAGGGCCAAGCAAGGGACGGGTTGTCGTCCCAAGCAAGGAGCGATGAAGAATGTGCGCGGCTTTACCTCTTTTCATCACTCTGCAGGTCAGGTCCCCTACGACATCTTCGATGCCGCCTGCCCTGAGTCTTCTCAAAAAGCTGCCCTGGAAAGATGCTGTTTCATCTAAGAGCAGAGAGCAGTTGTAGACGCTGGTACTTGAGGTCAAGGAGACGGACTTCATACGGGACTTCCACGCCTTCCGGCTCACCATCCGTGCCTGCCCCAGCGCGCCGCCGAAGAAATGGGCGCACTCATTCTTGTGGCCACGTTATCGAGGTGATCTGGACCGGCGCCTGGGCAGCGTCCTGGCCAGCGCCTTCCAGGATCAGGACCCGGGGGCCGAAAAGAGGCGAGGAGGTAGAGGCCTAGAGGCGAGGCAGAGCCGGTGGTCTCGTCAGGACACCCTGCACGGTCGAGCGAAGCTCCTGGATGCCTTCGAGGCGCCCACACGGCTTCGGGCACCATTCTGCGGACCCTCCTTATATACGGGCTCGAAGCTCAGGGGCTGCTGGAGCGGCCGGTCTTGCAGGCAGAGCTCGTGCGGAAGCAGCAGGTGGGGCAAAGTCTGATAGGCGTCGGCAAGGCCGAAGGCCTTCCGTTTTGCCGTAGGTCTTGATTGGCCAGTACCAGAGGGATGTGGAGGAGTTGGAGGCCCTGCCATCAGCTGGCATCAGCTGGCCCCCATCTCAACGCACCTGGCAAAGCCCTGCAGGCCAGCTTCGTGGCCAATGTGGAGCGTGTGGAAGGCTGCGAACCAGGCCCCCTCCCCCCTCAGCCCCCGCTCAAAGATTCAGCGGAAGTTCAGCACACAATTATCACTGAGCCCCACTGAGATGCGCCGCTCTTCTACAACTTGCCACCAGTGGCCGGGGCTTTGTCGTGGGCACGCAGCCTTCGGATGCGCCTTCAGGAGAGCCTGAAAGACTGGGTAAAAACCCAGGTCTGGGAGAGTCCTTGGCATTCGGCTAGGACCCTATGCCCAAGATCGTGGCATGCAACGAGCTCTTGCCCCGTGGTGAGGCTGCTGACAAACTTGAGGGGTGTTGGGCCATTGGGGGTGTCAAGTTGTTCCGCACGGAAGTGGCACAACATCAAGAAGGTTCATCTTGCATGCTGATAAGTCGATCCTCTACAACATGGGGCTCAAGGCTCATGAACCAATCCCCCTGTCATTCCGACAGGCACTTCGTTGCCACTTCATAGGCTATTCATAGGTGCTCGAGCCTGACCTATGGCAAAACTGTGCTATCATGGGACATTCCCACAAAGCATTTCCAGTCCGCAAAGCAATACCAGATCTCAACGGCACAGCCTTGCTATCCCAGAGGGCCATAGCTGCCATAGGGATGCTTGCATCATTGATCGTCGGCAAAATCCGCTACGAGACTAGCAGCCGAACATGCTCGACATCGATTCCCGAGTGGCGGTGATCACATAACCCGCATGCCATGAACCTTGCCCGCGCCACCAACGTCACTGCAGATGCGTTGAGTTGAAGCGTCCAGCCTTGATTCGTCAATGCCCGCGCCAACTCAGCAATCGAGAAAAGTGATCTCGACAATTGGAATGTACATTTATGTATGTATATATATATATAATGTACATAATATATCTATACACACACACATACACTTTTTGACACTCGCTCTCTCTCTCTCTCTCCCTCTCTCTGTCTTGCTCTGTCTTTCTCTCTTTCTCTCTCTGTCTCTGTCTCTGTCTCGCTCTGTCTCTTTCTGTCTGTCTCTCTCTCTCTCTCTCTCTCTTTCTCTTTCTCTTTCTGTCTCTCTACCTCTCTGGTCTCTCTGTCTTTCTGTCTCTCTGTCTTTTTGTCTCTCTGTCTTTGTGTCTGTCTCTCTGTCTCTGTATCGCTCTGTCTCTCTCTTTCTGTCTCTGTCTCTCTCTCTCTCTCTTTCTCTTTCTCGTTCTCGTTCTCTGTCTCTTTCGTTTTCTCTTTATCTTTCTGTTTCTCTTCTTCCTTCTCTTTCTCTTTTCCTTTTCCCCTCTCTCTCTCTCTCTGTGAAATCGTACGAGCCCAATGTACCCGTGAATGTTCACTATGCATTTAGGAATGCTACGATGCCGAATGGCATTGGCTCAAGATACTGAAGACTGGCTTGATCGCATAAATGAATGCTTGCTTGGCTATGTGTGACAGGGGAAAGTGATTGATCTTGGTTGCTAGTGAGAGAATGGACGTTGGAGTGAGAGGAATTGGTGGCGAAATCAAGCTGTTCCCACCTCCAGTGTGCCATGGTGAAGTGGAGAAATGGGAACACTGTTCATGGCAGCTGAAGCGATACATCGGACTGTGCAAACCGATTGTCAAACTGATGCTGGATGATGTTGACGGAGCCAACATTGTGATCACTGGTGATCTGAGTGAAGAATTTGACATCCAACGAGCACGTTCACAGACGAACTGAATTGTCTACGTGTTAGCACGGCTAATGAAGATGCACGAAAACGCAAGTTGGCAGCGGTTCTCAGAAAAAGACCTCAAACGTCGCAAACTTGGGTTGAGGAAAGAAGACGTATTTGGAAACCAATACATTGGCAGCGAGGGTCATGCCGCAATATTATCGGCGTCGATGCCCAAAGAACACAATCAATATTTGCTCTCGTTATTTTCCATGCTTTAATTGCAAGAAATTTACATTGACGGACGGAGCAGTTGTCTACAGAGCTCTGCGCCGTATCATCTCAGGGACTACTGCTTCTTGATGATGTGCAGAAGCCCATGTCAAACGTGTACACGGGAGGTTCCGATGCAGAACATGTCAAAACAATTAAATTGCTTCACCTGCAGTTTGGAAAGATGTTGGTGACTTCTCGTGTTGCGCCAGTATTGGCTCCAGAAGGTTCCTTCGAGCTTCAAAGAGCTGGAAGCCTTGCACTCCAGGACCTTACAGGCGGCCGCTCATCCGTTTGCCTTGAGCTCCTCCTTTAGCTCCTGCCTTCCGCTGAGACATTGGATTCCTTCGAAACGCGGCGTTACTCCGACTGGAAGGGTGAAGTGGCGGAGGCTTCCGGCTTGGACGCCGTCGTCGAATGCTGAGCAAGCTGCTGGCAGGCCGCCAAGCGGCTGCACCTCCGCTTGCTCCGCAGACACGACAGGCCCGGTCGCGGTAGGGACGGGGACAGCCACATTGGGGGGAGGGAACTCTCGGCTTTCAGGACCGGGCTGTTGAAGGTGAACTTCGACCCTGCCCTAGTCCGCTTGTTGCGGGAGGCGAAGAGCGCGGTGCACCGCGGCGCCAGAGGAAGTGTCAAACTGTAAAAAACAGACTGGCCGGGAGGTCCGGTTCTTCTTGATTTTCGGCCTGGAGGCACGTTCGCGTGATGGTGCGCCATGTGGTACCCTCCTGGGGGTCCGGGCAGGTGCCGGAAGAGGCCCTGACCATCTACAGCATGGTGGACATCTACCGGAGGTGGACAAGCCAGCAACCGCCCCAAGATGGTGGTGCCGGGTGGCATCTTCTGCAGGGTTCTGCTGCAGGGTTCTGCTGCCTTAGGCTCGACCACATCGTGGAGCTCTACAACTCGGTGCTGACGGACCTTTTGCCCGTGGAGGAGTGTGCGAGCGTGCAGTACCGAGTATACGGCAATAGAGCCCACTGCGCCTGGGAAAGGAGGGAAAGAGACCCTTTTCGTTGCAGGAGCCATTGTTGGAGGACCGGATCGTGAAGATGGACAACGCCTTGGCGCCACGGCTCAGCAAGTACAGGGAGGGGGGTGGGCTAGGGTTCAAGTGGCAAGTAGAGACAGGTTTGCGGGTTCGTTCAAAGAAGAAGCGGGTGCCGCGGCCTTCGCTCCGAGGCTCCGGGCCTCACGGAGCTGAAGTGGTCCCGCGAGGCCGAGGCGCGGAGCTCCCTCTCTGGGGGAGAAGGCGGGGGAGCGCTGCAGCGCGGCGTCCGCGCAGGTTCCCGACTTCATCGCCGTGGCCATGAAGGTGGTGAGCGACGTCTCGGCCATCGTCGACATCATGAAGGCCAAGTTATTCGCAGCAGGGCCGTGCAGCGGGAAATGAAAGGCGGAGTCCATCTGAGCAGCCTGCAGGGCAATCTACGCAAGATCTCGGGCATCCTGTCCCAATGGTGCAAGGAGTCCATGCCAGCCGCTTACAGGAGACCCCTAGAAGGGCCTACAACGCCCCCTGGCGCCCGCTGGCGTGCCTCTGAGGCTAGAGAGGAAGCGTGGGGCGAAGCCGGTGTCCGTGGAGGAGACCTTCGTTTTGAAGCTCCTGCATCGGCATCTCTTATTCTAGGCAGCCCCACCGCAGTGCCAGGAATTCGAGCAGAACCACAAAGCCCGGGTGGGAGTCCGGCTGATGAACATGACAGCCCGGCCTCCGAGACACCGACAGACTCAGAGAGCTGTCTAAAGACTTGTCAGACTCTCGTCTCAGGATGGTGGCAAGGAGATCCACCGCCCAAGCCCCGGTAGCCCCTCTTAGCGACCGCTCCTTCCCCGCAAAATCGGAGGTTATGTGAAAGACTCCAGCGAATCCTTGAAGATCTCCAAGTCCGCCCAGACCTGGAAGGCCCCCAACACCTGTGAATTCTTCTGCGATCTCGCATGGCCTCTGCGCAGGCCTACGTGGATTTTGTGAACAACGTCGTCATCGAGGGCTTTGTCTCTGCCATCGCCGTCTCCCTTCAGTGCAGCCGCAAACCCCTTCTGCTGCAGCCTCGAGCCCGCCAGTGTCGTCGGAGGTACCTCTGTGAGATCTTGGATCCCTTGATCATCACCCGGCACGAGATGCTGCCCCTTTTCGTCCGACTCCCAAAAAAAGGGCGAGAAGCGGAGCGAAGAGGGAGGCTTTCCGCCACGGCAGACAGCGCAAAGCCTTTGCTTCTGACAAAGCCTCTCACGCAAGCCATGGGCACACATGATCACACATGCACGCTTTTTGGCTGAGTCACTGAGGATGTGAAAATCGAACTGCAGGGCGAAGAGATCGTGTTCGATCCACCCTTCGAGGCTGTCAGCTGCCAAGCGGCCAAGCGATGTGAGAGCGAGTGCCAGGACGAGGATCTTCCCGGGCGCACGACGCTTCGGAGCACCATCGACGGCTGGCTGAAGGACTTCTTCGCCATGGCCACCGTCATGGCCAGGATCCCTGAGAAACTCGTGTCACGTCCCTTCTTCCTGTCTCTGTTCTCCGTGCGGCTCTCAGCGAGGTCCGCCTGGACTCCAACATGGGCGACTACCTGAACGAGATCAAGGACTCGAAGAGCGAGACCATCAGAGACTCGCAGAGCGTTGTGAAACCTCTAGGAGCACTTCCAGATGCAGTGCCTGCTCTCCATGGTCTCCGAGCTGTGCCTTGGCTGCCCTCTCTGCGTCGTCGCTCTGCGTCGTCGCTCTGCGCCGTCGCTGTGGCCTCTGCGCCTTTTTGGGCCCAGTCTTTTTTTACTTTTCTTCCACTTCTTCGAGGATTGACAACACGGAGACCAAGTGCTTGGAGTACCGGGAGAACTTCATGACACACTCCTTCCTTTGGACCGACAGCGCAAGGATCCCAGGCATGTCCACAATGAAGTCCTTGCAAGCCTTTCGTCATCTTTGCGCGCACGCACGCACGCACCCGCACCCGGTCACTGAAATCAGCGATAGCTTGCTCACAGAATCAACTGTGGCAAGCTAGTTTAAGACCACTACATCGCATGCAACCTCAAGCTGCAAATGATTTGCGATATTGGTTCGGTACCTCTCATGCAAAAGAACGTGCTATGATGGAGTTGGTTTGCCACATGCGGCAATCAATTCAGCAACTGTTTAGTGTTTCAGCCACCAAGCAAGCTTGGCAAGCGCGTGGTTCAAGCGATGTAATGCCTGCTGTCATGCAACAAGAGCTGAGATTCTCGGTGTTTGCTAACTGAATCCTTGGTAAATAGGTGCCCCCAAACAAACTCAACCCCCCCACCCACCCACCCAC